ATCTCTTGATGAGTCAGGCTGTTAATAATGGGACATTTTGGAAGTCACACAATCATAGACTTATCATGGGTTGGGGATGGCTTGATGCCACATAATGACAACACATTACTATGTAGAAAGTGCTCAGAATCCTGAAGGGAAATCATGGCCAAACTTTAGACCATCTTATCTTGATGGATCTACACTCAGTATCATGTACACCAGAAGTGGTTCAGAGCAGCTAAAGCCCAGTCTAGGAAACACAGAATACTCCCTCTCTAACTCCTCCTCCCCATGGAACTTCACAACAAGCATATTCGCACCCTGTCACTTCCTGCAGGACCATCTAAGAAAGACAGGTTCTAGAGCTTCACCTTAGTTCATGGCCTTCTTCTCAGCCACCTTGCCAAGCATCATCTGCTTGAGGCAACCACCTCCCCCTGCTTCATGGCAGGGCTGTCCTGCTCCTCGGGACATTCTTAAAAACCACAACAGTTGATTGGGGAGCCACAAGTCCTCCTTTGAGCAGATTGTTTGCAGATTAAGCCCATCGATGCTGGAAAGAAACTGGAAAGCCTCATCGTTCAAGGTCAAGGCAAGCCAGCCATTTGGCAGCTCTGGCAACGATCTGTATTTTAGCAAGAGTGATTCAATTATTGCTGAAGATGCTTCTTGGACATAAAACAATTAGACTTATTGGTTGGTGCAATGGCTTTTTTTAAAGGAGGAGAAAAAAGAAGAAGAAGAAGATACAATTGAGTTAAAGACTTGAGGGAGTTTATAGGATTCATTTGGACAACTTTGCCCCTGGGCTGACAAGTCACAGAGATATTAAGCTCTTGAAATTACACCGAAGAATCAAGAGGACAGAGCATAATTGATCTAAAGGATCCTTAGTCATCTATATTAGATAAAGTTTGAAAGATAAGTAAAAAGGTTATGAAAAAGAGCGCTTAATTGAAGTATAGTTGATCTGGGAACATAGATGTTTCTGTACAATACATTTTGGGGGCATCTTGGTAAGGACGTCCAGCAAACAGACAGAAGACTTGGTGGATCATGTGAGCCATATACCAAAACCCCAGATTATGCTTGTCTGTCATATATATCTCTCTGACACACATTGAGCGAAGCTTTCCTTTAACATTTCCACATTGGGTGTGAAGTTGCATCTTTTAAGATTGGCTTCTAGTACCTTTTAATGTATTTCAAACTTCTTAAGGGTTTGTTGTTGTTGTTTAGTAATTAAGTCATGTCCGACTCTTCGTGACCCCATGGACCAGAGCACGCCAGGCCCTCCTGTCTTCCACTGCCTCCCAAAGTTGGGTCAAATTCATGTTGGTCGCTTCGGCAACACTGTCCAGCCATCTCGTCCTCTGTCGTCCCCTTCTCCTCTTGCCCTCACACTTTCCCATCATCAGGGTCTTTTCCAGGGAGTCTTCTCTTCTCATGAGATGACCAAAGTATTGGAGCCTCAGCTTCAGGATCTGTGCTTCCAGTGAGCACTCAAGGTTGATTTCCTTTAGAACTCATAGGTTTGTTCTATCTTATAGGATAGCTAAATTAATTAAATGAGCCAAGGAAAGGCAGAACTCCAGCCTCTTTCTTCACTGAAATAAAAAAATTAAGCTCCAATGGAGAATTGCATCTTGTAGCGTTCACCCTACCTTGGCTCATGCATGAGGTTGTTTACATGTACCAACTGGAGTTGTTGGGAGGCAGAGCCAGAGAAACTAGAAGGGAGGGGTGAGACAGACAAGAGCAGTTAGAGAGTTAATGAGTTAGAGAGAGAGTCTCAAGGGAGATCAGTTAAGAGTGTTAAGGGAGGCAGTTGAGAGTGTGGAACGTATAGAGAGTTAAGTGTGAAATATTATTACAAAACTACTGAATACTTTAAAGTCCTTGAAGAACTTCCTTATGTGAACTGTATCCAGTAAACCTGTTTTGTTAAATTTACATGCAGTATCGACCTCCATCTTTCTAAGTGAATATTGTCGATAGAGGTCAGCTGGTGGCAGTGTAAAAGGGAAGGTGGCGTGGGCCTCAGGCTAGTGAAATAATCCGGGGACATGCAAGTGGCACGTCACACACCTCCTGAAGCCTCTTAGGGAGTTGGTTTTCTGTTTTAAGTCAATTTCATGAGCCCCTGCAACAGTTGAGGGCCTAAAAATAACCTTAAATCAAAAGAAGACATGGCTGTCTGGTTACAGATAATGAGTAGGTCAAAAAGAAGCAAGGAGGTTTAGGCCCATGGAGTGAAAAATAGGGTGGATTTGGCACCTTTTGCCTACAAAGGGGAGGAGAAAACTTATTTCAAGGGTAGGAAGGAGTTCATATTGAACTTTAGCCGATAACTTACTGCAACTTGCATGGAATAACCTATTTTAGATATTAAATATTGGTCCTTTACAGGATGTAATCTGCCCTGGGTCTTTTCAAGAAGAAAGGCAGGGTGAAAGTGTTTAATGAAATAAATAAATAATGGAACACAGCTACAGTTTGCAGCCCAGGGAACTGGTCCCCTGTATCTTGCTCCTGAGTAGACATCATAGAATTGCTTTGTGTTTTTTTTTAGGTTTAATGGGGGGGGGGGCAATCTGGTTTCGTAAAAATTCAGTCCAGTACAGAAATTTACGAATGAGGAAGGTGAGTTTCAGATGTTAGCTTCTCAGTGCTTCTGATTGTTAGAAATAAAAGTAATTTTTTAAAATAATAAACTAATCTTAATAAACCTCAAACTGGGCTGTTCTCCCAAACAGGCAAACGTTGACTTAATAATGATAATAATAAGATTAGAATCACAGTTATTAATACATTGCCTGATTAATATGGTCAATAAAAATGATTTCCTGACATTGCATTTCTGGAAAAAGAATGCATAGACATGTTCCTTTACAGAGAAGTTTGATGTGCAATACACACCTTGTACCAGAAGGGGGCACCCTTGCCCTCGGCATCTGGATCAGCTTTTTTTAATTGAGCCAATCGCCAGACTTGGCGATCAGTGAACTGAGAACTGAAAAGAGAGTCCAAAGTACACGCAGAGTGCTCCTCTCTCCTGTCTCCTGCCACATACTGGGTGGGGCTGATGGGTTATGAAGTTGGAAAAAAAATCACATTTGTGGTTTATAGAATATGCCTCTCCAGAAACACTTTCCACCTCATGTTGGGAAAATTGAGGTTTGTCTGTTTTCCCACATTAAATTAATGCTCCCACGGGCACATTGTTTTCACTTTGTGGTTGAGAAACCAGCCGCCTGCTGCAGACGTGGGTCCGATGATCGATGCAGCCCAAATCCCGACAAATTCAGCGGGACCCTGTTTCCACAGAAATAGATGCAGAAACTCTCCTGAAAGCACAGATCTACTGCTTTTCCATTAGCTTAAAACTCGTGTGCTTGCATTTTGGCTTAATGACATGTCAGGCCAACTCACATGCTAGCGAACTACCCACATTCGTAACCAGACATGGCATCACCCAAAGTTTGTTTTTATTTTTCCAGGTATCACAGGAACGAAGAGCTAGGGGCTGTCGGCTAGATTGCATGCAGGGCAACTCACATGCTAGCGAACTACCCACATTTGTAACCAGATGGTGAACATGCCCCCCTCGTGGCATCATCTGACATTTATTTTGTTTTTCCAGGTATCGCAGGAACGAAGAGCTAGGGGCTCTCAGCTAGATTGCATGCAGGACAGGATATAATTGGGGGAAAGTGTTTCTCCTCTGTTTTTTAAACTCCCAGGCTTTAAAATAAATGGATAGGGATTTTATTGGCTCCTTAACCCATTACGTGCCCAGGTAAGGGCATTAGGATGGCCTCCACACCCTTTCAAGGGACTCACTAGGGTCTAACCAAGATCATGAATTTCAGAAGCATCTGAAGCTGGTGAACAGGAAAGGATGCTTACAGGAACTCCATCTACTGATAACAAGATAAGGCTGGAATGTTGCAGCACAGTTACTGCTTGGAAGAGAGAGAGAGGAAGGGATACTGGAGAGGAAGGGGATTAATTACCCCCGAGAATGTCACTTAAGGTAAAAAGGAAATAAAGGAGGTAAGAAAGGAGCTACCAGGCAGCCCTGATTTCCTGTCTGAGAGGAATCACCAAGGAGCTCTGCTTCTCTGCCTGGACCACTACTGCCCCCTGTAGGTTCATGGTCCTTAGTGCAAGGGATGTTGAACTCATTCAAAAAGCATGTATGTGGGGTCTTGCTTAGAGTAACACGCGTTTGATAATCATGCACTGTCAAGTCCATTCGGACGTATTGTGATCCTTCTTCCATTTTTTAAAAATTATAAAGCACTCCTATGGTTTACCATTCCCTTCTCCTGGAAGTATTCCAGGACTGGGAAATTAAACTCATCCTGACTCCTTATCAGGTGCTAGGATCCACTGAAAAACCCACCCAGCTTCCACATTGTTTGGGCATTTGTCATAGAAACACAGAAAGCTGTCCCATATAGAGTTAGACTCTTGATTCAGTATAGTCATCAGAATCTCTCCAGGACCTAGCCTTATCTGGAGGTCCCTGGTACGTTCCAGGGGTCTTCTGTCCAACCGACCACCAACTTTGCTTAGCTTCCTAAAACTGATGAGATTCAGTGTGTTCAAGCTCATACAGAGTGCTGTCCTCTGAAGATGCCGGCCACAAAGACTAGCAAAACGTTAGGAAGAACAACCTTCAGAACACGGCCAAAGAGCCTGAAAAAATCCACAACAACTATTAGATCCCGGCCGTGAAAGCCTTCGCAAATATATCATACAGAGGTACATACGTTATGTCCATCTCACTATTCTACTAACAGCAGCACACATAAGCTTCCTACTAGTGATGGACACGAACCAAATAATGAACCAGGATGGTCATTGAAAATTGTTGGTTCGTTGGTTTGGGTCAATTCGGTTTCATCAAAACTGATGAAATGAAACAAACGGAACCAACAAACTCGATTTAAACAACTTCCTGGTTCATTTGCCCCCCCACTCCCTTTCCACTGCCCTCAACACTTCTTTACTTTGTGCTGACTCCTCCTCCTTTTCCTCCTCTGCTGCCACCATCATCTTCAAAGGCCTGCTGTGATCTGGAGGAATGGCAGATGGTCTCCCTGCTCCTGAGTACGGGCGTTTTCCCTGCGGTAGTGAGATACAGCTTGCGCCATGGAGGTTTGGATTGCAGCTTGGGAATGTGATGACTCTAGTGGTGATCCATTCCAGTCGGGCTTCAGGCTGTGCCACGGCATGGAAATGGCATTGGTCACCCTGTTTGATGACCTACTGAGGGAGGCCGACAGGGGCAAAATGTGTCTGCGGGTCCTCCTCGATATCTCAGCCGCCTTTGATACCATCGACCACGGCATGGGGAGGCTCATCGAGTTGGGAATCAGTGGCCTGGCTCTTGTTCCTTCTTGGAGAACCGTCCCCAGAGAGTGCAGATTGGAGAGAGTTTCTCGGCCCCGTGGAGCCTCAATTGTGGGGTTCTGCAGGACTCAATTATCTCTCCAGTGCTGTTTAATATCTATATGAGGCTGATGGGAGGGATTATCAGGGGATGTAGGGCATTGTGTCATCAGTACGCCGATGATACTCAGCTCTACATCTCCTTTTTTCCCAATAACAGTGGTTGCTGTTTCGTCCCTTGAATGCTGCCTGGGGGCTGTTCAGCAATGGATGCAGGTGAATGGACTGAGGCTGAATCCGGCAAGACGGATGTCCTTCAGGTGGGTGTCCCAGACATCAGTGGTCTGGGAAACTCCCTTTCCTTTGGAATGTGAGGACAACTATGTAGAATTGATAGGGTGGGGGCAATTCTAATTCGTTATTAGAATTTAGGATTTGTTTCCCTTGCTCCTATTTTTGATGAAAATATATTTTATTCCATTTGTGTTTCCTTTTAAGTTTAACATGCAACTTGTGTGTTTTATTAAAAGGAATGAGAGTGAAGGAGAGGCGGGAAGCAGAAATCATGCTAAACCATCATCTAATGCAAAAACGTATTCCATTTTCTACTATTTTAAGCTCTTTGTTAAAGGACTCACAACTTTCCTTTCAGTCTCAAAGGGTCACCCGAAGGCAGTGAGGTAAGTTAGGTGCTGGTCAGAGAGGCACAGCTTTTTTGGAAAGGAGGAAAAATTAAAAATAATATTTAATGGCTTTCAAGTGTAGTTACAATGTCAAGATTTCTGCGTTTTCAACCTCATCTTAAACAGAAGTTTGACACATCATTCTTAGAACTCACACTAGACCATTAAGGAAAAAACAGATTATGGTTAAGGTCAATATGTTAAGAAAACTCTAGAAAAATAATTCTGTCAATAACCTGTGAAATCATTTAATTAAGAATTGCCTTAAATCCAATTACTACTCCCAATTAGAATAGATGCACTGAATCAATGGGAACTCAGTAACTCAGAGCTTCTGTAAATTCCACGTAGGTCTCCTCTAACCAGAACTAAGAATTAGATTTAAGACCATCCTCATATATATCAAAAAGTTTTTATGTTTTTATGTGCCATCTGGCTTATACAGGGTTTTCAACATATGTTCAAGAAGGGGTTTATCACTGCCACCCCCTCAGTGTGCTTCCATGGCTGAGCAAGGATTTGAACTCGAGTCTCGCGAATCCTAGTCTGATGCTCTATCCGCTGTGCCACGTGGGCTCTCCAATCGAAAAATATATCTCTGCATTTTAGATTCAGTCCTCTTTTTTATCAGAGACGCTAGAATGGTCATCTTCGACGGCCTGAGGGCAGACTTTATTCCTCGGCACAGAGGTTTTCTCGGATGGCGCTGGGGTTTTCGGAGCGGGCACGCAACTCGTTTCTGTCTCTGTAAATAACTGGCCCCGCTGCAGCTCAAGATACGTTGTAAACAGCTTGGCGTATTCAGGATGTTTCAGGGCAAAATCCTTGAACTCTTCTGAAAAGGGAGAAACCACAAGAATGTATATTTAACATGAGGAACGAAAGAAGCCACCCAATATTGAGTCACACCACGGTGACTCATAGCCCATTACTGTCAAGTCTCAAAGGAAGGATTTCCCCACCCCCTCAATCCTACATGGAGATCCACAGGATTCTTTAGGGGGTCTCCCATCTAAATACTAGCCACCCCTATTTCTCTTAGCTCTAGAAAACGGACAAGACTAGGAGTGTTCCAAGGTGACATGGAGGTGACTGGAAATGTCTGAATCTCCTGCAAAACCACAGTTTCCTGTGATGTGCACAAGCCGCAGAGTGCTGTCTGCTGTTTTCTGCCCCATCCAGCTCAAGCATAAGGCATCCAGAATTTTGCTTCGATTTTTTCAAAAAACAAACAAACAAAAACACTACACCTCAGTGGGTCATCTGGACCGATTGGCTTCTTTTTTTTTTTTAAGTCCAACTTCAAATGATCTTATTATAAAGAATTCACATTAATCACATTTTGTTTTTTTGGGGGGAAGCAACTGTAGGCAAGATTCACCAGTCCAGGGGCGAGGTTTTCTTGGATTTTCTGTCCTCAGGACTCACTGGGAGTTGTATCAGGCTCCAAAATGCAAAGGATGCCAGGAAAATTGAAACAGGAAGCAAACTCTCCAGTTTTCTCATTTCGCTTTACGGGGAGTGGCTTCTGCACAGAAAATGTGCTTTTTCAGCTTTTTGGGCAGGCAAGGATCTCAAGGACACCACACATTTTTCACAGGCTGCCTTTTGTCCATTCTTGTACTTGGTTTTGGACAAAATGCATCTGAAATCTGTGTTCTAGTTGGAGAGTTGTGTATGAGTGAGAGATCCCGAAGCCTGCTGTGTCCCATGCTGAACTATAATGTGGCATGATGTATTAACACAATACAGTCATGCCCCGCTTTACAATTACCCTGTTTAACGACGAATCCGCTTGATGGTGAGGTTTTTGCAATTGCTTTTGCAATCGCAAAATGATGGTTTGAATGGTTGTTTTTTTTTCGTTTAACGATGATCGGTTCCCTGCTACAGGAACCGATTTTCGCTTTACGACAATCAAAAACAGCTGATTGTCAGATTTCAAAATGGCCACTGGCTGAAGAAAATGGCCCCCCGCTGTGCTTAGGGATGGATTCCTTGCTGCGCAGGCATGGAAAATGGCCACCCCTATGGAGGATCTTCGCTGGACTGTGAGTTTTCAGCCTATTGGAATGCACTGAACAGTTTTCAATGCATTTCAATTGGTTTTTTTATTTCGCTTTACAACGTTTTCGCTCTACAGAGATTTCGCTGGAACGAATTAACATCGTTAAGCGAGGTACCACTGTAATTGCATGGAACACCAGGGGCACGACCCTATTGCCCTGGGAATGGCTGAGCCCTTTGCACAATTCTATCCATGGCCTCTAAATTCAAAGAGAGCTCCTCCTCTCTGCAGATCTGTTCACAAGCGTCAGTAATGAAACACTTTATTATTTCTCCTACAAATGTCTCAGAGTGTTATTGAGACAGTAAGTGTCAGTTAATGAGAAAAGGGTAGATACGTGAGGAACTTCTAGCTATTCCCTTCTCTGGATCTTTATACCTCTACATAGCAAAAATGATTTTTTTTCCCAGAAATTCAAAATTCTGCAACAGGTTTTTGCAAGAGGGCTTTGTCTCCAGATCCACCACATAAGAGGCAATGTACCCACCATTTTGATACAACATATCTAAGGAGGTTTTGACCAGTTGAGGTGTCATGACTGCATCACAAAACTACAGGAACTGTAGTTCTGCAAGGAAAAACTGGATTCCGTGCAAGAGTGTGCATTCCTCAAAATCAACTAATAGACCCAAGCCAAGTCTTGATGGTTCCAAACCATCCACACTTACCATAGGAAAGCTTTCTAGAGTTGTCAACATCTATTTCCTTGAAGAGGTTCGAAACATCAAGGTCAGGAAGCCCAAGTGAGGAACGGATAATTAAGGCAAACTCGTCCTCTGTTATGGTGCCATCTTCATCAACGTCAAATAGCTACGGGGAGACAGAAGAAAGAAAAGGGGGTGATGTTGTGCGAAACAGGCAACCTCAATGCGTCTTTTTAACCAAGCGGCATTAGGTTCAAATCAGTCTTTGAATGGTGTACGTAATGGCATCAAAGCAATTTGGTGTCTTCCGTTTTGTGCAGAGACCAAAGGGCCTTTCAGCTGACATGATGCAAACAGCAACATCAACAGAAGTTATCCTTCTTTCCTTTCACAAGGTTCTTCTTGGTCTTCAGAACATTGGATGGCCTGAGTCAGAAGAGGACACCGTTGAATGGCAGGTCATAGCAACCCAGCAGGGTTTTGATGCGGAGGTTGCTCCATCATGTAGAGCAGTGGTTCCAAGCCTTGGGTCTCCAGATGTTCTTGGACTGCAGCTCCCTGAAACCCTGGCTAGCACAGCTAGTGGGGAAGGCTTATGGGCATTTTAATCCAAGAACCTCTGTAGACCCAAGGTTGGGAACCACCAAAGCTCACTTTACCTGCAGCAGCAGAAGTTTTGACATAGCTATGTTCTAAACAGGAGGACTTACCTGGAATGCCATTTGAATGGTCTGTTCTGTATTGGCAGGGTTACACAGAACAGACAAGCCAATCACGTATTCCCTGAAGTCTATGGTGCCATCTCCGTTCTGCAAGAAATACAGGGAAATATTTCTTAATTGGGGAGCAGGGTAGAGCCTTTCTGTTTCTCTCTCTGGCATATTCGATTTCTACATGTGATCATTTTTAAAGGAAAGAAGTGCTGGAAACATGCAATCTCAATTAAAAGGCCTTGCCTCCATCCTCCAGAAGTGCTGGAAACATGCAATCTCAATTACTGTAAAAGGCCTTGCCCCCATCCTCTTAATTCTACATAGTTGTCCTCACATTCACCTTTTCTCCCTCCCCACTTATATAATGTCCCTCCCTTTGGTGGACTATCACTCACTCACTTCTTTCACCACCAGCCACCCAAAAATGACCCCACCCTTTTTCTTTTTTCATTCACTTACACTGCCTGGAACTATTATAAGTGAAAACAATTTTTTTAAAAAAGACAAAAATATGGTGGCACCTCAAAGACTAATTTGTATGTAAAGGTAAAGGTAAAGGTTCCCCTTGACAATTTTTTGTCCAGTCGTGTTCGACTCTAGGGGGCAGTGCTCATCCCCGTTTTCAAGCCATAGAGCCAGCGTTTTGTCCGAAGACAATCTTCCATGGTCACATGGCCAGTGCGACTTAGACACGGAATGCTGTTACCTTCCCACCGAGGTGGTCCCTATTTATCTACTTGCATCTGCATGCTTTCGAACCGCTAGGTTGGCGGGAGCTGGGACATATATTATATATTTAATGTGAGCTTTTGTGGCTAAAACCACTTCATCAGACATTAAAAAAAAGATATAACAAGGCAAATATTTGTACATGGCATCCAAGAAGAGATATCAAAATACAGAGATTGTGGCTGGCTGGTAAGAGAGTAATTGGGTGCTAAACACTGTGATGACAGTGTCTTTGATATACAAGTCTTTCATAGAAGCTTGTGCTCTAAAGAAGGTTAAAAACCTCTGTCAAAAATTAACAACAGTAAAATAAGATTGATAGAGAAATATGACTGTTAATTAGATGAGCTGTTTACAGTCATTGATGAACTCTCCCCTCCTACAAGCTTTTCTTTGTAATCAGTTGCAAAAGTGTATGAATTACCCCAGACAATGGATGGCCACAAAAGCAGAGTAAAGAATCTGTTGTTGAATTACCCCAGACAATGGATGACCACAAAAGCAGAGTAAAGAATTTGTTTCAACTTAGAAATTTCTAAAGTGGATCTCTTAAGGTGGAAAAAAAAGTATCTGGGAGGTGCAGTACAGTACAATGTAGTGTTTATATCCGGTAGTGCCCCCAAAAGCTTTGGCTTATATTTAGTCCATTGATATGTGTGTCTAGCCTGTGTATATATTTTGTCTCAGCTCTTTCTCTCTGGATTCATGTGCTGTAGTTTCTTTTTTCTAGGATGGCCACTTTCAGATCATCTGTGGAATGTCCTGGCAAATTAAAATGATCTGAAATGGGTTTCCGTGTATTGCCATTCCTGATATCTGTCCACCGAGTCATTTGCATAGAGATTGTCCCATGGGGAACCACTGGCCTAGGCATATAGCCTAGTGGTAAGTATTTGGAAAGAGTTACGTATGCACTGTAGAAAAGGTGGAATAAATGTTCAATAAATAAAATTTTTTGAGTGCCCAAAACTTTGCAAGCTGAGAAACGTATTTGGGAATTCCCTAGAGAGGAAGCAGCTGGCAAGGAAGGAATTATATAAACTCTTCTCTGCAAATACCTGCCAACCAAAAAGAGCTGGACTTCAAGGGGACAGAAAGTGGCCTCTCATGGTTTAATTGCATTTATGCATGGACACTGTTTATTTAAGACTTCACAGACGCAGCTGGCAGCTGCTGAAGTCAAGTCACTGTAGAAGAGACATGCAGAGGAGTGTAAATCTAGGGTGTTCCCACTTTGGGTGTGGAGATGAGCAATTAAGAAACAAAAAGAGGGGTTTCGATTCAAAAAACATTTTCATTTGATAAAAGGTTTGCTCTGTTTATATTGCCAAGAAAGGGTGAAATCACCCATCCACATTCCATCTGACTAAATCTGTAAAAACAACACCAACTTTTTGTCAGCAGGTGAAAAACTGATGAGGGCAATTTAAGATTAAAAACAGCCCAGAACTGGCAATTAAGGTAAGCTTGAAATAAGTTAAGGGAAAAGTGCATGTCTGCATGTAATAGGGAGGAGAGGAAACCACAGGGAGGACAGGATGTGTGCCTAAGAAGAAGGGAGAACACTTAGTGACACCTTTGGAAAAAGTTTTTTCATACTACAGCTCCAAACTGCAGAGGTAGGGGATTCGGGTGACTGTAGCCCATTCAGTGGCTTTTCCAAGCTTCGCTCCTTCCAGTCATTTTCTTTTCACTAGATTGTCATGTCACATGAGCAAGGCCATAGAGAGTGCAGGCTCTTCTCTTCTCAGGCACTGCTGTTGTGCGGGAGAGCGACAAAATCAGAAAGGGAGCAAGGCAGGGCGGGAGCTCCACAGTGGACGTCTCTGACGTGGTCAAGATCGGATAGGGCTGATAGTGATCTGAAGCATTGTTTCTCGAAGACCTCAGGTAGCAAGATAATGTGGGCAACATGCCTTGGAACCATATGGATGCTCTCCAGTTGTTATTCCATACAAGGGGACGCTCAACCTTTTCTCTGTTGATCCGATGACCCATTTTATCACAAACAAAACCACGTCTACCATCATAAGCAGCAGCAATAGGCAGAGGAATGGATTTGCCCAATTGAAGGTACACAAGGGTATGCCACATTCGAATGCTCCCCTGTACCAAATGCGAAGGAGAAAGCCAACAGAGCAGGGAGAGGGATTTAGCCCATTCCTCTGTCTGTTGTATTAGCTTTCTACTTACAGGCATTGCTGGATACTAGAGAAGCGTTAAGCGTGCAGAGGGAATAGGAGGTCCCTCCCCTAGAGTCCGAAATGATACTGTCCGCTCTGCTGTGCGCCTAGACTCGTGGCTCCCAACCTTGAGTCCAAAGACTGCAAGTCCCAGAAATCCTCACCAGCACAGCCAGCGGTGAAGGGTTCTGGGAATTTTAGTCCAAGGATATCTGGGGACCCCAGGTTGAGAACCGCTGACCCAGGGTATGGTTTTGCAGGCTCAAAACATTGACGGCACAGAATTGATCTCACCTTTCTCAACAGTTGCTTGGAGATACAACCTTTTTGCACCAAGAGATTCTGTGAATGGTGTTAAAATGCAAATTTCTAAAGCTCTGTTCCCACCTACACAACCAGCCGTGACATGATCAAAGAAAACTACAGACTTGTTTTGTGGAGATCCAAGTTTATTTTCCTTTTACTGCATGTGTTTCCGCTCAGGAAACCAGATCTAGCTTGCTAGCATTTTGCTGAAAATTAAATCCAAACCTTCGCAAAAGCCTTCGCGAATACACCAAACCTTCTCCTTGGGATTGTTGGGATTTTTTTTTTAAAGTGGTTCAAAATACCAAACAAAGCGATACAAATATGAAATTTTACCCAGCTTCACTCCTCCACCATAAAATATCTGTATCTATACCCCTGTGCCTACTGATACACACACTCTCTCCCCAGCTGGTACCTTCCAGGTTAGACATTCAATGTGCCCCTGCTTTTGATATATAGATAATAACCATATTAGTCAATTCTGAGTTATGGTGACCCTTTTCTGGGTTTTCCAGATAGACGATACTCAGAAGGGGTTTACCCTTCCCTTCCTCTAGGGGGCACCCTGGGACTGTGCAGCTTGCCCAAGGCTACATAGGCTGGCTCTTCTTCCCCAGAGGCCCAGTGGGGGAATCAAACTCCCAACTTCTGGCACTACAGCTAGAGATTTAAATTATTGAGCTATCCAGCCAGCTCTAATGATACATAAACTAAGGTAAAGGGAATTGTAGTTTAACATACCTTTAAGGTACTACGTGTTATGGAGTCCTGGTCTCCATAACGCTTGCTGTAATAGAGGCTATGGGTCACAGAGTGTCTATCACCATTTGGAAACGAAATGGGGACACCTCCAAAATAAGAGCCACCTAGAAGCATACAAACCAGCTGCTTAAAAAAAGTTGTTTTTTTCAATTAAAAGTACAACCTAACAAGGAGCTCCTGGGATTTTCTAGAATGTTCTATCAGTTGAGGGAAGGAGCAGAGAACAAAAATGAGACATTGCAAGAGGAGAAAATGAGGAGCAGATCTTTTCAAGCCCGTAAGAATGTAAACCAGCCCTTTGAGAAGAGAAAGAATTGCAGTGAATGGGGCAGGGATTCCTGTCTGTACAGTATACAGTGAGGGCGTTGAAGATATTTTAGCCCGAGGCATGAATTAAATTAATTAAATTCCAGAGAAGTTTTCAGGGCTCGCATTTCAGTGGCAGGTGGAGACAAAGGGTGGGTCTCGAAATACCTGCCTAATTTCGTTCCAAGGTATGACTGCCAGGAATTAAGCGTTAGAGCAGGCATGCTTGTCTTTCTTGAAGCACAGGAGACGAACAAAAGATGGAAGCCCACCAGACTAGAGTGTCATTCGGCACAATGGCATGGCTCCTTGGGAAGCCACAGAGGTGTGGACGGGGATCACAGGAGAGTCAGATTCTGTCCCGGGGCCAGAAACTCCTCCTTCTTGGTAGATGGGGATGTATTTTGAGGAGGGCAGGGACCTGTTCTGTTGTATATAACACCAAAGAAATGAGAGACGAGAGTGGCCGAGAGATAATCCAACTCCCTTCCATGTGATTTCAAGGTTCTAACATATGCCCTCCCTTTGAAAACCTCCAATGCTTGGGGGGGGGGGGCTCTATCTCCTTGAAAAGCAGTGGAGGCCCCTTCCCTAAAAGATGGAGGGGTGGCCATCTTTTAGGGATGCTTGAGCTGTAGACTCCCTGCATCAGCAGAAGGTTGGACTAGATGATCTTGAGGAGCCTTTTCACCTTGCCATTTCCACCCTTCTTTGCTCTACACATCTCTACAGCCTAGGGATACACCTACCCACCCAATACAGACACACACACACTGAGAGAGAAATTACAAAGCATCCTAGATGTAGCAAATGACTGTTACTTGAAAACACACAAACGTCCCCACCCCAATATTCCAGAAAGTCTTTTCCAGCTAACATGCAACATACAGCGGACCGAAAGCCAAAAGGAGAATGTCAAAGAAGGCCAGATAGTTAACTTTCTTTGCATGCTTCCTTGCGAAGATTAGCAATCGAGAAAGAGTTAGCTTTGTTTCTGCAGAAGAATCATTTAACTACAAGATCATGCAGATACAGGCTGAAGCTGAGACTAATGCCATAGGTCATCCCCCCCCCCCCNCTCTCGTCTGCTTTGTCTCAGGAATACATGGTCAGTTGCAACCATTCTTGGATGCTCATCTGGACCTTCCCGTCGCCGTCTCTGTCCAGGCCTTTGAAGGCACGGAACATGCCATCAAGGCGCACCAGGCAACTGATGAAGTTGTTAAAATCCATGGTGCCGTCTTCGTCGGCATAGCGACGGCTCATCAGCGCGTAGAGCTGCTCGTGCATGTTGAAGCCAGCAGCCTTGAAGGCGGCCGGCAGTTGGGCCTTCTGGATGGTTCCCGACGGCGGCCGGCTGTGCTGCTTGTAGACGGCCTGCCATTTCTTGATGTTATTCCACAGATACTTGAACTGGTAGAAGTCCAGCTTGCCCGTGGTGTCGCTGTCCATGACGGCCACCATGCTACGGCACGTATCCAGGCTGAAGCCCTCCGACTTCAGCTCTTGGTGCCGGGCCATCACTTTGTTCAAGATGCCCATCAGCTCAGTGGGGCAGACCGCCATGTCGTCGCCCGCCAGCTGGGCGAAGAGCCGCCGGAACTGGCGGAGCTCCTCGCTCTCGTTGGCTTCCACGTTGGCAAAATGGCTGCGGGGGGTCGGGGGCGGCTCGGGGGTATACTGAGCCGCCGCCTCGCTGATGATGTTGAGCAGCCCTCCGACGAACCCGGCGACACCTCCGGCTTTCTTCCCTCCACCCCCGCCTCCTGCCAAAAGTCCTCCCAGGCCCTTCATGAGGGCCCCCCCGGCCCCACCACCACCTTTTCCTCCTCCAAGGCTGCTCATGAGGGCTCCACCAGCGGAACGGCTACCTCCCCCGCCACCTCCGCCGGTGGCCGCATCCAGCAAGGCCTGGGCGAGAAACATGTCGACGTCTTGAAGAGAAGCGAGTCTCCTCCAGCAGCTCTGAACGCTTCTGAAAGGAGCGAAACCGGGCGTGTGCTGGAAAAACAGCGGCCTTGCCAGAGGGAGTGACAATGCCTGAACACGTCATCATCCACAGCTGGAATTCATTGTGTGTGTGTGTGTGTGTGTGTGGAGGGCGCCTCCCTTTCTCGCAGACCAGCCAAGATGAAAGTTTCCTGTTTGGAGCAATGCACAGCCTTTTCTGAACAGCCACTGGCATATAATTCTCCTCTTTCCTTCTGCAACACTGCCTCCCCCTTGGATAATTCCATTCCTCTGACTTGTTCAGCCATACACACAAACTCTCTTCTTGCCCGTTTTGTACCAAGCCGTAGCAGTTTGATGTCCTCGGCGTCTCGAAGCTTAGTTCCCTGCAAAACCGTTACAACTCTCGTTTTGTTTCTACCTAGCCGGGGACGCAGAAAGCGAGAGTCCACTTACTCGATCGAAAAGGGCAAACAGCTCTTTCAGGACGTCGGAGATGGGCAACTTCAAGTAGCTGGCAAACTCTTCGATCCCAATCCGGCCGCCTTTGGCGTCACTGGCAATGGTGGCAAACTGGTCTAGCTGCTCTCTGATGTTGTTCCATTTTAGGCTGTTAAAAGAGGGGACGGGGGGGTAAGTCACTGTTACATGTCATGAGGCACAAAACATTCCCAGCATGAACACTAAAGTAGCGTGGAAGGAAATTGAGCTAGCTGGGCATAAAGCCAGCTCACATTCCTCAACTCCAAACTTCGTAACAGCGAGAAACATAATATATTCCACATGAAGCAGACAATGCCTTCATACACAACTCACATGGCAGGGAAATGTGGCTAGGAAGTAGGGCGGGGGGGGGTAAAAGAGTGCTAGAGTCCTACTTCTGATGCCTTGTGACTCCTTCCCTCCTTCCTATGTTGGGAGGGGAAACCATGTGCAAAGGGGTGAATTTTTGTCATTCTCAAATGCGTACGGGAAGTCTTGTAATTCTCAGGATTTTACACACAGCTGCCCAAAACACTCTTAGAAGTACTGCCCCAAACATTAGACTAGGAAGGATATTAACTGGGGCTCACCTGTTTTCCCTTCCACAGTGCAAGAGGCTGTCTTAACTAGAGATGGGCACGAACTCATGCCGCTCCTGCCGGTTCGTCCGTCGATCCAACAAAACTAGAGATGGGCACGAACTGCCAGTTCGGCAGCTCATGCCGATTCGTCCGTCGATCCAACAAGTGTTTCGTGGTTCTGAGCCCTGCCTCCCCCAGCAGGCACCCACTCAAAGGCAGCCCCTGGAGAAGGCAGGGCAGCGAAGCCAGGGTGGGAGCTGCCCCTGAGTGGGAGCCTGCCAGAGAAGGTGGGGTTCAGAGGCGGTGGAGGCGCCCATCTTTAGTCTCGACCCATCCAGACACATTGTTAAAAAAAACACAAAGAACAAACCAACAAAAACAGTGATGAGAAACAGTGATGAGAAATGTTTTGCTTCTCCAGGGCAGCAAAAAGTCTGGCTTCTGCTTTGTCAACTACTTTTGTGTGTGTGTGTGTGTGTGTGTGTGTGTGCACGCGCGTGCGTGCGTGTGCGTGTGTGTGTGTGTGTGTGTGAAGCTTGTATCCTGTGCTGCAAAAAATTGTGTTTTGCACAAAATTCAAACATTTTTTGTGCATTCTATTATGTGCATCTTATTCTATGGAAAATCCAAGGTTTTCTGGAGAAAGTGGGAGTGGGGTTGGTTTTCATTTTTTTAAAAAGTGTTTCAATATATATTTTCAAGTTCAGAAATTGATTCTATTTACCATAGAAAGGAGCCCTCTGGTGGCCCCTGCTCTCCCAATTTCTGGTGTCCCAGATGGGCAGAAGAACATAATCTGAAAGGAGAACCTCTCCTATATATGCAGGTTCTCCCTATGGATTGGAACTCTAGAAAATCAGCATCCCCATCCATGTAGAAAGCCTCCAGAGATATCTGAGGGGCTCTCCTCTTTAGACACAACATTGGAAACAGATGGCAAGGGGTAAGAGCAGTGGTTCCCTATCTTGAGTGCCCACATGTCCTTGAATTAAAACTCCCAGAAACCTTCACTTCTAGCTGTGCTGGCCAGGATTTCTGGGAGTCATAGTCCAATAACACCTGGGGAACTAAGACTGGGGAACTACTGGGCTAGAACATTTCCCCCTAATCACGATAAGTAAATTCACCTTCCGAATGAGATAACAGGACTTGGCTCTTGTCCTGGAACAGAAGCAATACTTACTTCAGCTTCCTGCTGACTTTTGTGAATTCTACTAAACCAGCTTCCATGGGCAGAGTGAGCTGTCCTGCTGAAATCATCAGCCGGCAGTCTTCATAGGTGTGATCTGTAACCGGTACACCCAAAGCACTGTAATTAAAGGGAAAAACACACATTCACACAAGCAGAATTAGTTAAAAAAATTGCAATCCACCAGGATCTGGAGATCTGAGCCTACCCATGTCACTGCACCGCACACAGGACAGAGCGGATCATGGTGACTGCATTACAGTTCATCACCAAGAACCTTACGACACTTTGCAAAACATACATTTTTAAGTCCACATTGACAATCACCTTGCCATCCTGTTACGGACTCGGTTGGCAAAAAGGATGGGGTCTTTCTTCTCTTCCTCCCCTGGGACATGGACAGGAAGAAACTGGAGGGAGAAATTCAACACATATTTCAGTGACCCCATACAAGACAGAGAGAACATGTTTCGAATTGGCTTTTAAGTCCACATTGACAATCACCTTGCCATCCTGTTACGGACTCGGTTGGCAAAAAGGATGGGGTCTTTCTTCTCTTCCTCCCCTGGGACATGGACAGGAAGAAACTGGAGGGAGAAATGCAACACATATTTCAGTGACCCCATACAAGACGGAGAGAATATGTTTCGAATGAATTGGTTAGGAAAGACAAGCATTATAATCAGCCAGTAGAGGGAGCCACATCCTTTAAAAAGGTAAACCCTACACACAGTGAACAGAATCCATCCAACCATCATGGATTGGGTCACTGTAAAACAAACTCAAATCAGTACCAAAGCTAAGAGACTGGGGAATTCTTAAATAATAATAATAATCTTAGAACTGCAAAGTTGGAAGGGACCCAATAGATCACTGAATCCTGTCAGGGAGGCCCAGTGGGGAATTGAACCCCCAACTTCTGGCTCCACAGCCAGAGACCTAAACCACAGAGTTCTCCAGCAGTCCAGAGTGACAGGTTCCTTGTGGGAAAAGCTTTCGTTGTCTAAAGCCTGCCTCGTGCATGTCAGAAAGTACCTTCCAGCCCATGAAACCGAAAACTGCAATAAATCTGTCAGCTTTTAAGACACAACCAAGACACTAGGTTGTGTTTTGCCGTATGGCCGTCAAACATTCTTTCTAAGAAATACAGATCAAAAAAGAATACTCTAAATCAGGAATTTTCAATGGGGGGGTCATACAGCCCCTGCCCCCCCGGCACATTTGAAGGGGGGAGAACAGACTGGAAACAATTCTTCACACACCACCTTATAAGGTTCATTATGCAGCCTATACAATCCCGATTCAGCCTATATTTCTTTCATGTTGTGTTTACGGCCATAGCACACACACACAAAAAGGTTAAGAATGGCTGCTCTGAAGTATTTTTAAAAGGCAGCTTCCTCCCTGAGGGGATAAAAACAGACATCACTAAATTCTTTCCCCAGAGTTCACCAGCAACCTACCTCCACTTCAACTTTGGTGACGAGCTGGCACAATGTCAGGATTAATGCTTCTTTGCTGGAAAAGAATAAAAAATAAAATAAAATAGGAAGGCTGCTAGTGAGTTAGCCGACTTATAAAACCGAGCCATTCTTTAGAAATTCTTCACATCCAGCATGGGTATCACCTATAGAGGCCTTTACACAACCCAAGCTCCTAAGATATCAAGATTTATTGAAAAAGGACTGTGAGTTAAAGTTTAAAGAGTTAGAAACACAGGTATCACTTATAGAGGCCTTTACACAACCCAAGGTCCTAAGATACCGAGATTTATTGAAAAAGGACTGTGAGCTAAAGTCTGAAGAAGAGTTAGAAACACAGAATATATATATGGATCACCTAGAATCCAGATATAGGAAAGATAAAATAGAGGATTTCTATTTAGAACAAACAACATATGATAAAGCTTTACTAGGCTCAAAAGATAAAATAATTAATATATATAGACTGGTGATCCAGAGCACAGCTAGAATCTAGATAGAGCAAAGACAAAATAGAGGGTTTCTATTTAGAACAAACAACATTTGATAAATTTTTACTAGGCTCAAAAGATAAAACAATTAAGAAAATATATAATTAAAATGCAAGATGAGATGGTTAAAGAATGTACGATTAAGTGGGCACAAAATATAGGACATAATATTGATATTGACCAACGATTGCAAATATGGCAAAATAATCTAAAGCTTACAAAATCGGTTAATTTTAAGGAGAGCATATATAAGATGTTTTATAGGTATGGCACTCGCACCCACCTCTGCCTTGAACTTGGAGGGCTGTCCCCGCTAGCTCCTTAAACCAGTGGTTCCCAGCCTTCGGTACCCACTGGTTCCCATCCTTGGGTCTCCAGATGTTTTTGGACTAGAACCCCCAGAAGCCTTCGCCACTAGTGGTGCTGGCCAGGATTTCTGGGAGTTGTAGTCCATGAACATGTGAGGACCCAAGGTGGAGAACCACTGCCCTAGACACGTTTCGAGACTTTTTATCTGAAAAAGTCCTCTTCCGCCCCCTGGTGGCTACTGGGAGTGATGTCATTCTCAGCCGCTCTCAAGCTGTTCTATCCAGACTATTTATAGTCCACAAAAGCTTTTCCTCATTTAAATGCTTTGATCCACAATGATTTACAGGCCATCCTGCAGAGGGTACAGCCTGAAGTTACAAAATTTGTTCATGCAGTTATCAGAGATGGTTTTGTGCTGGAGACTGCGTGTCTCATCAAGAATGAGAAATCAGCAACTTTTCTTCAAGACTGCGTGTCTCATCAAGAATGAGAAATTAGCAACATTTCTTCATGCTTCTTTGACCCAATTCCGGGAGGCCGTGGAAGACAGGAGGGCCTGGCATGCTCTGGTCCATGGGGTCACGAAGAGTCGGACATGACTTAACAACCAAGCAACAACTTCATGCTTCTACGTGTGAGTCAGCGACATGACTTAATGACTAAACAACAACTTGATGCTTCTATGTGTGAGTCAGGGTGGTGAGGAAGGTCGGCTTACCATTCTAAAGGAAATCAACCCTGAGTGCTCACTGGAAGGACAGATCCTGAAGCTGAGGCTCCAATACTTTGGCCATCTCATGAGAAGAGAAGATTCCCCAGAAAAGACCCTGATGTTGGGAAAGGGCGAAGGCAAGAGGAGAAGGGGACGACAGAGGACGAGATGGTTGGACAGGGTCATCGAAGCGACCAACATGAATTTGACCCAACTCCGGGAGGCAGTGGAAGACAGGAGGGCCTGGCGTGCTCTGGTCCATGGGGTCACGAAGAGTCGGACATGACTAAACGACTAAACAATGACAATGAGTCTGCTGAAGTCAGTCACTTGTTTTGTTTACTCTTTTCTGTCACCAGCTATAGGTAATGATATCTTTTTATTCTTTCTACTATAGTGGTGCCTCGCTTAACGACTGCCTCGTTAAACGACGAAACCGCTTTACAATGAAGTTTTTGTGATCGCTTTTGAGATCACAAAACGATCTTCCTATGAGTTTGTGATTGCTTTTGCGATCGCAAAACGATCTTCCTATGGGTAAAATTCGCTTAACAATGATTGGTTCCCTGCTTCGGGAACCAATTTTTCGTTAAACGGTTCCCTGCTTCGGGAACCGATTTTTCGTTAAACAATGTTTCTGAAACAGCTGATCGGTGGTTCTAAAATGGCTGTCCGCTGTGCAAAATGGCTCCCCGCTGTGTTTTCAGGACAGATTCCCCGCTTTACAGGCCGCAAAAATGGCCACCCCTATGCAGGATCTTCACTGGATGGTGAGTTTTCAGCCCATTGGAACCAATTGAAATGGTTTCAATGCATTTCAATGGGCTTTTTCATTTCGCAAGACGATGTTTTCGTAAGACAGCAATTTTCGCGGAACGAATTAACATTGTTTTGTGGGGCACCACTGTACTAATGTCTCAGAGTGAGTTTCCAAGTTCCTTACATCCAAGTTAACGAGAAAGGGGTGGACTGTTTAGGAAACTTGCAGCTATTCTCCTCTGTGGAGCTCTGTACTTCCGCTGTGCGGCACGAGGAATTTTAACCAGAAAATTCAAAACTCTGCAACTATAATTGCAACAAGTCATTCAATAATGGTTTATAAAGCTAGAAATGTCCCTTATGAAATATTGCAGTAACACAGCCCAACCTGAAACCTACCAACCTAAAAAGGTACTTGTGATATATCTCTCGTTGCAGTGCTGTACTTACAAACTGTAGCCTTGCCAAGTCCATGTTACAGTATCCTAGATTTGGAGAAAAAAAATAGAAGAAAATTACTAGACCCTTAAAAAGACAAACATCACGTTTCAGCTGAGAGAGGCAATGGTGTTTCTACTCCATCCAGATATCTGTCAATATTGCAACAACTGGAGCATAGGTGGTTGCACGTTGCGGGTGGCTTAAGGATCCTTTGAGATGCAGCCCCTTAGAAAGGCTGTGCAGGATTCATCAGGCAATTTAACTACCCTCCACCATAAACAGAGGTGCTCATCTATGTTAAACGGAGCCAGGGTGGGTAAGTGATTAGAGTTGATGAACCAGAATGCCATAGCGCTAACTCTGTGTTAAGCTATAAAGCTCTGGCAGTCTCTTTGGGTCAATCACTCCCTGTCATCTTGGCCTCTCTCAGAATTCTGCGGAATTGGGTGATCCTGTAAAGACAGCTCACAAGCTTTGGGAGGTATTGGCTGTGCTGTGCATTGCGCCGTCTGATATAACTCGGGGCACAAAAACCAGCCGAAAGAAAGCAAAAAACTGCTTGCGCTATTGTCCTGATGAGTGTGGTTTCATAAGTAGGATTTCGGCCATAGTAGACAAATCCCCATCGAGATCCAACTAGTACAGATCCATTGGAATAAGTGGGATTTCTACTCTACTCTAAAACTGGAAATAGCTCATAATGTCTCTCAGATTAAGGTAGTCAGTGGGCTGGGCTAGAGACGTGTTTCATAGAAAGACTGTTTTCCAAGTCATACTTTGATTTATGTATTTTTTCCCCTTAAATAATCTCAACTTACCAACTTGTTTGGGTACCGAATGAGGACCGGCTGAACTGCAACGCCGGGAAGAAAAGCTCCTGGAAAAGCAAGATGTTTATTAAGGCAGCGAAAAACATTTACTCAATGGAATACTTGGCTGCAGGATGGAGGAGGAGTTTAGACAAGCCAAAACCTTAAAAGGAATTTTTGCAGCTATCCATGTAGAAATCTGTCTGCTTTGATTTCAAGCTGTTCCTTCGTATCTCACCTACCATTCCTCCTCTTATTTTACATCAGACTCTGGTGGTCTTTTCCCACAGAAATATGTGCATCGTTTTTTCTTCTTCTAATGCACACATTTTATATTTCGATAAAAACACACATTTCCTCCCCAACTCAACTAAAATGTTTTTTCTCCATATTTTAACAACTGCACCAATTTTTATACAGGGATATTTCTTAAAGGTTGCTTTGTTTGGGGTAACATTTTCTCAGGAATCTGCTGTAAACCCTATCAGAGTGTAAACTATGGAGGTGAGCTGTGTTTCTTCCCAGTGCAAATAGTCTGCTTCCCTCAAAACAATGGCTCGTTCCTAAATGCATCACCGATAAATCTCAACTAAACAAGGTCCCTAAGTCTTAAATCAGGCAGAAGCACAATGTAGCCATTCAGCATGCCAAGACCTTCTCCCGTTTTAAAAGACATCGGACTCAAAACCATCCCCTTGTTTCCTCTAGCTGGCATAAGTGGCAATGTTGTCCCATGGTTCAGGACTAACGATGGGGACGAATATACAAACGGATCGGCTTTTTTGACAAAAACAGCCAATTCGTTAAATATTCATCCCTTCATGTTTGTGCATTCCAGAGACCCCCACAAATAGGAAGGGACAAAGATTTACCAGTTTTTATTCGTCCTTCATATTAAAAAACAAAAACAAAAGAAACTCATTCTGCCTATCGGCCACCAATCATCTGATCGGTGGGGGATAGGCAGCCACCCCACACACAGCCACTCAACCCCACAGCCTACCCTCGCACTCCCTTCCTTTCCGTACTTTAGCCCGTCCCCACCCCAACCCCCACTGACAACCCCTTCCTATTAAAAATATACAACAAAAAAACAACATTCTGCCTACCGGCTGCTGATTAACTCATCAGCGGCTGATAGGCACCCATCCCCTGCCCCACAGCCAGCCACCCCAACAGCTTGCCTCCACACCCCTTCCTTTCCCTACCTTAGCCCCCACCTCAGCCTGCCTTAAGGGAATCCAGGCTGCCCTTTACCAAGATGGCAGCTGCAGCTTCCCTACCCTAAGTGAAGCCACAACATCTTTGCAAAGGGCAGACAGTCCCCCTTTTTACATGTGTGGCTGGGAGGCCAGGAGACCTCAGCAGCAGTGATTAAGGTAAGGGGGTATCAGTGGGGGTGTGGTGAGGACTAAGGTAGGGAAAGGAAGGGGGTGTGGGGGTAGGCTGTTGGGGTGGCTGGCTGTGAGAGGGGGATGGCTCCTATTGGCTTCTGATCAACTGATCGGTGGCCAGCAGGCAGAATGGGCTTCTGTGCCATGTGGTAAACTCTCTTGGGGAGGGGGGAACCCAATTGTGGGTGAATAACTTGGATGTCCAATATCCAATCTTCACCAAAGTTGGCAGGCGTGTTGGGGAAAGACATAGGAAGCTCCATGGTGATTCCAGCATCTCTACGTACCTGGGGGGAGCTTTCCTGGGGGGCATCCTCTTTGTGACTATATAACTCAGGAGTCTGTTATTCAATGATTAACCAAACTTACAGGAATTGTAGAAACCTCTCTGAGGAATGTTCCCTGCAAATCTGGTGTCTCTAGATGCTTAGGGGCCAGGTTTATAGTCATTTAAAGTGCAGATGAATTGACAGGTCGATTCATTGATTTGTCGAAGAATATTCATATATTCGTATTTGTTGACCCATTAACCTTGATGAATCACGAATCAAAATGAATCACCATTTTTTAATTTGCCCCCATCTCTATTCAGGACCTAAAACATTCCGAGACCCCTCACACATCTACCTACCTGCCTGCCTGCAAAATTAGTTCTATTTAAAAAAAAAAGATGGTGGGGTGGGGCTGGAGTAGTGAAGTGGATATTGGCCCCTAAAAGTCGAGAGACTGATGTGCCTTTTTTTTCTTCCAGTTTTTCAAATTGTATGTACAACCCCTTCTCCTGCTGCATCATTCCCAGCTTTTCAGCCCCAGAGCCTTCCTCACCTTGTTTAAAAGTGATGAGGCATGAACGGTTTGTACATGTGCCTTCTGGGAAAATCAAGACCTGGAAGAGAAACAAACCAAAACAAGATTTGCATGTCTTTCATTTGAACTGTGGTATAAATTTAGCAAATCTTTCCTTTGCACAGAATCAACAAGGCTTCAATATTGTGGCAAGAGAACATCTCTGAGAGCAACCAGGGCATGAGCTGGCTTCTCTGAACGCTGTCCTGCCATCTAAGCACTTTTGACAAATTGGAAAACATTCCACCAAGCAGCAGAGTCCAGGTAAATTGGTTTAGCTTGGGTTGTTGTGTCGCTAAATAGAATCGTGCTGGCTGGCTACTATGTACTCAGGGCTGTTGATCGAAGAAGCCCCCCCAACCTCCCTCCAATTTCTCTGTACCAGAACCAAACAGCAATTGAACAAAAAAATGTGGAATGCTTTTCTCCATCCCAAGCTAACAATTAAAATTGGCCTCCAGTGATTAAAACAGCTCAGTGCACCAGTTAATCACATACAGCATTTTGTGCTTTTCAGTGTTAATCTAGTCTAGCCAAGGGCTTTTTTAAAAAAGCAGCAAATCAAACAAAGCATTGCCATTAGTTGTTGTTAAGTGTTGTTGGGTCACTTCTGACTTATGTCGACTCTGGGAATTGGTGGCCTCCGAAAAAGCCCTGTGATTAACAGCCCAGCTCAGCTCTTATAATCCCAAAGCCAGGGCTTCGTTTATCAAGTCAACCCATCTCTACTTTGTCTTTCCTCTTTTCCTGTTGCCTCCAACTTTCCCCAGTTTTATTTTCTTTCCTAAAGAGTCTTGCCTTCTCATGATATGCCTGAAGTGCGGGAGTCTCAGTTTAGTTATTTTTGCTTCTAGGCAGAGTTCTAGCTTGATTTGATTTAGAACCTGCATATTTGCCTTTCTGGTGGCCCATGGAATCTGCAAATTTCTCCTCCAGCACTGTTTTTTAAAAATGAATCTATTTATTTTCCCTCCTATCCACCTTTCTTCACTGCCCAGCTTATTGCCACTAGAGGGCACTCTACATTCAGTTCATTGGACAGCTCAGAACAAACCCATAAATAGAATTAAAGTGGCGCCTCATGTAACGGGCACCCCGTTTAACAATGAAATTGCATAGCGATTAACTTTTTGCAATCGCTTTTGCGATCACATTGCAATGTTTTAAATGGGAAAAAATCGCTTTGCGATGATTGGTACCCTGTTTCGCTTACCGATCATCGCAAAGCGATGATTTTTTAACAGCTGATCGGCGGTTCCAAAATGGCCACCAGGTAAAAAAAATTGGCCACCCGCTGTTTTCTGGGATGGATTCCTCGCTTACCGGGCAGCGAAAATTGCTGTCGTATGGAGGATTTTCGCTTAAAGGTGAGTCTGAAGCCCATAGGAACACATTGAAGGGGTTTCAACGCATTCCTATGGGCTTTTTAATATCGCATAGCGACGAAATCGCTTTGCAGCTATTTTTCCTGCACCGATTATCATCGCTATGTGAGGCACCACTGTACCTATCAACAGAATCATCATCACCACCAATAACAACACAGTAGAACTGAAGACCTGGAAAAGACCCTATGGATCATCAAATCCAGCCCCTGTCAAGGAAGCCCACTAGAGAATCCAACTCCCAACCTCTGGCTCCACAGCCATATGTCTATATCATGAAATCATGAAGTTGGAAGGAGCCTATAAGGCCATCAAGTCCAACTGCCTGCTCAAGGCAGGAATACAAATCAAAGGATATCTGCCGGGTGGTTGTCTAAGTTTCTCTTGAATGCCTCCAGTGTTGGAGCACTCAACACCTCTCAACGTGATGGGTTCCATTGTTGTACTGCTCTAACAATAATTTTTTTCCTGATATTCAACTGAACCGTGGCTTCCTGTAACTTGAGTTCATTGTTGTGTGTCCTGCACTCTGGGATGGTTGCAAACAGTTCCTGCCCCTCCTCTGTATGACAGCCTTTCAAAAAGTGCTATCCTATCATCCCTCAGTCTTCTTTTCTCAAGGCTAAACATGTCCAGTTCTTTCAGTCTTTCCTCATAGTGCTTGGTTTCCACCCCCCTGATCATCCTTGTTGCCCTTCTCTGAATTTGTTCCAGTTTGTCGGCATCCTTCTTGAAGTGTGGTGTCCAGAATGAGACACAATACTCAAGAGGAGGCCTAACCACTGCCAAATGGTGTGGAACTAGCACCTCGTGGGAGAGACTTCTGTTAATGCAGTCTAAAATAGCACGGAGTTATCCAGCTATGCCTTATATTATTCCTGTTTCAGTTGTTTTCATGTTAGGAGGTAAAGCCTACAAAGCTAAACATACTGTAGGTACGTATTTACATTTATGTGTATGCATTTGCACACACCTATACACACTAACACATCCACACCTAGTTGTATGTATTCAACATCTGTTACATATGCAAGGCCATACATACCTGGGGCCACTCACCTCCCGAGGTGGCCCGTCTGGTTATTTCATTGATTGTGTTCTTCCGAGAATCTGGGTCGACACGGGACACCACTACTGGCTGGAGTGCATATAGGATCCCTGTTTAGAAACACATACCTAAGTAATTAGGTAAAGGTAAAGGTTCCCCTTGACATTTTCAGTCCAGTCATGTCTGACTCTAGGGGGCGGTGCTCATTCTGTTTTCAAGCCGTAGAGCCAGCGCTTGTCCAAAGACAGTTTCCATTGTCACATGGCCAGCGTGACTTGGGAAGGCTGTTTTACCTTCCCACCGAGATGGTACCTATTTATCTACTCGCATTTGCATGCTTTTGAACTGCTAGGTTGGCAAGGAGCTGGGACAAGCGACGGGAGCTCACTCCGTCACGTGGATTCGATCTTACAACTGCTAGTCTTCTGAACCTGCAGCACAGGTTTCTGCGGTTTAGCCCACAGCGCCACCACGTCCCATACCTAAGTAATTAGATACCACAAAAAAGTGTCTGTGTTCTAGCACAGTGGCTCCCCAGTCTTGGGCCTTCAGATGTTCTTGGACTACAACTCCCAGAAATCCTGGCCAACACAGCTATCGGGTGAAAGCTCCTGGGCCTTTTAGTCCAAGAATATTTGGGGACTCAAAGTTGGGAACCATTATTCAAGCATGCTCCTCTAGACACACCCAGTCTGATTTGATTTTGAAAGTGAAGCACGGTTAAGTCTGCTAAGTACCTGGATGGGAGACCCACCATAGAACACCAGGAACCCTCAGGCTGATCTAGAAAAGAATCTTTCTTGAAAGACAAGGAGACCCATTGAGGCCAGCCTGAGAAGATAATACATAGCTATAAAGACTTGGAGTTGGTGTGTGTGTGTTTGTGTGTGTTAAGTTTCAAAAGGGAAAAGATGGTTGTTACGAGCATTTTGACCTCATGATAAAGTCAAGATCATCGGTGGGGATTGCTGAATACTCACAAAGCAGCTGAAATAACCAGATTCATGTAAAATCTTAAGGACAGTCATATGTTTTTTTTCATATCCCAAAAAAATTGTAGCATACTTTACCTTAAAACACTTACTGCCTCTACCTCAGAAGAACCCAATGGGGAAAGGTCTTGAGAAACGACCAAGTGAACAGAATTATGAAGATAAGGAGGATGATGATCATAATAACTGCAGAGCTGGGTAGAGACCCTATGGATCATGGGGACCAGTCCCTGTCCAGGAGGCTCAGTGGGGGAATCGAACTCCCAACCTCTGGCTCCACAGCCAGATGTCAAACCACTGAACTCTCCATCCATTCCACATGAAGAAGGTCCTTTGGGGAACACCAGAGGGTGGAACAGGGATGCCAGGAGAGCTGGATACTCTCCCAGGGTCTCAAGAGCCTCTGCCTCTGGTCTATGACCTCAAATGTCTCGTTCTGCTCCATATGTTACGCCACGCAAGTGCCAAAGAATACAAGATGTGTTAGAGACCCAGTGGAGCACCTTCCCTCACGTTCTGCACGGCACTTACTGCCAATGATGGGCACTGCCAGGTTCTCTTGCCTTGAAACTATCGAGGGCATGCCAGCCACGATACAGGTGATGCCATCAAAGAAACTTGAGTGAGGCGCCACCGCGAGGATTGGGGCCTCTTCAGGGCTGGCTACTTCCCCCTTCACTTTGACCCGGAAGCCCATCACAAAGAATAAAGTGTGGCCGAAGAACGTGAGAGCACAGCGGGATACTTTCCTGTAAAAAAAAAAACAACCACACACAAAACCACATAGAAAAGCATGAACCACAAAGCATCATTTCACTCTTCACCATTTCTGCTGCTTTAAAGGAGGAGGATGATACACTGACTAGCAAAATCAGGCTTCTATGTGGTCTTCTGCTTTCCCAGTATCTACACATCAAGCATTTGCCTGGTAGAGTTTGAAAATATTGATATCATGCTTCACTGCTTCTGGACTGCTCGGTGGCTAAGGTTTGAGGCTGTAGAGCCTAAGGTTGGGAGTTTGATTCCCCACTGGGCCTCCTACGAGAAGAGCCAGCCTGTGTAGCCATGGGCAAGCTGCATAGTCCCAGGGCATGCCCCAGAAGAAGGGAACGGGAACCTACTTCTGAGTGCTCTCCACCTGGAAAACCCAGAACCAACTTGATTCATATTCTGTTCACCACTTCTGCTGCTTTAAAGTTATAGTAGTGATGGTAGTGGTAGTAAATCTCTGAAATCACTAGCAAAATACAGCCTGTACGTGATCCTATTTTGTTCCAGTATCTGTACATTAAGCATTTAGTTGGTACAGTTAGAAAATATTACTCCCAGCTAGAATCTCCTCCAGCCAAATACTAAAAAGATGGTAAAAATCTGCCGGTTTCACTTTCCCCCAAATCCCCTGGACACATTTTTTTTTTTAAAAAAATATGTCAAGTTCCTTCCATACTCTTCATAAAGAAAGGTGCTGAGAGACTAGGCAAGTTCTTAGTGAAGGACTAATCCACTGGAATCCTTCACTGCAAACTAATTCTATAGATATGGATCCTTCTGTACCGTAAACATCACCTCCCATGTAGGATAGGGAGAAATATGTTTCAGGAGGGGGTTAGACAGCATGCTGAGTCACGCAGAACAATAGTAGAAGGCTATGGGTGGGAAGAGAAGAGGAAATCCGCGAGGTGGGAGAACAGAATGGAGAATCCTGTGAGTAGGTATGGATACTCCAAGATGAACATTCCGTGCTGCAAAATTTTAGGTGGAGATCCCACTTGATTATCCATATTCCAGTAGTTCATCCATATTCCATAGTCCATCCATCCATTCACCCATCCATCTGTTCATTCATTCATCCATTTTTCACTCCCTCCCTCTCTTTTAAAACCTGTAGATTTAAAGGGAGAAGTTAAGGCTCTTGTACATTTATTCATGTATCAAAAAAGCATGGAAATCATAAATTGAGAATTCCACCCTGAACTTTACTATGTAAATGCATGTACAGGTATGAGCTTTACTTTGTAAATGCGTGTGCAGGTATCTAAAGCTGGAGGATACCAATTAAGAGTCTGTTATACTGAGAGACTGTCATGTTAAGAGCCACCTTACCTTCTCCATCCACGAAGGGGCACAGCCTCCTTTTCTGAGTTGCAGAACGTTGCCAGCAGCGCGAATGGCCATGCCATTAGCAAAATTAAGAGCATGCACGTGACCCGCAGTGGGACTAGAATAATCCCCAGAAGGATAGCCTAGAAAATGAGGAACAACAGTTAGCAAGTCACCATGAACTCTGGTAATACCTTCGCTCACTTGCATGCTCTGAAATGATGCATTCGTAGAATGACTGGGGCTACATCATTTCTTAATATCAAAATCACATTTGGCTACGTGATTGCTTTTCTTTAGGGAGGTAGTTAAGGCGCTTGAGGAGGGACATGGTGGCACTGCTGGTTAAACCGCAGAAGCCTCTGTGCTGCAAGGTCAGAAGACCAAGCAGTCGTAAAATTGAATCCACAGGATGGAGTGAGCTCCCATCGCTTGTCCCAACTCCTGCCAACCTAGCAGTTAAAAGTATGTAAAAATGTGAGTAGATAAATAGGTACCACCTCAGTGCAAAGGTAACAACGTTCCGTGTCTCATCGCGCTGGCCACGTGACCACGGAAACTGTCTTCAGACAAATGGTGGCTCTATGGCTTGGAAACTGGGATAAGCACTGCGCCCTAAAGTTGGACACGACTGGACTAAGGCCCTTGAGGGAAAACCCTGTATGGAATAAGGTGTCGGCAGAATTCGAGCCAGATATTTGTACATGTCTACATGTTGATATAAAGGGACATGGTGGCGCTGTGGGCTAAAACGCAGAAGCCTGTGCTGCAGGGTCAGAAGACCAAGCAGTCGTAAGATCGAATCCACGCGACGGAGTGAGCGCCCATCGCTTGTCCCAGCTCCTGCCAACCTAGCGGTTCGAAAGCATGCAAATGCAGGTAGATAAATACTCGGTGGGAAGGTAACAGCGTTCCGTGTCTAAGTCGCACTGGCCATGTGACCACGGAAGATTGTCTTCGGACAAAACGCTGGCTCTTCGGCTTGAAAACGGGGATGAGCCCCCTAGAGTCGAACACGACTGGACAAAAATTGTCAAGGGGAACCTTTACATGTTGATAATTGTAGAATGGAAATCAAGCCCTGTGAGGACAGACTGAAAGAACTGGGCATGTTTAGCCCTCAGAAGAGAAGACTGAGGGGAGAGAGGATAGCACTTTTCAAATACTTGAAAGATAGTCATAGAAAGGAGGGGCAGGATCTGTTCTCAATCATCCCAGAGTGGAAGACGTGTAATGAAGGGCTCAAGCTGTGGAAAGCCGGATTAAAGCTGAATAGCAGGAAAAACTTATTAACTGTTAGAGCAGTATGACAATGAAATCAATTTACCTTGGGAGGTGGTGAGTGCTCCAATGCTGGAGGCATTCAGGAGAAAAATGGGCAAACATCTGTCAGATGATTCAATGATTCTATAAGGTATTTACATATTCCTCTTGTGTCTAGGCTATTCCCATGTTGCAGTAATTCTGCTTGCTAATGTATTTGGCTGTAAGTGTATCTGCGAGCATGTCTTTGTGCAAGTATGTTTGACTTTCTGCACAAAGAGCATATAGATTACCACTAAATGCAGCTCTTCCCAGGTGTTTCCCACTGTTGGATTAGATGGAGCCCTTTGGATCTGATCATCACCATCACATAATCATAGAATAGTGAAGCTGGAAGGGGCTTATAAGCTCACACAACTCCAACTCTCTGTTTGATGCAGGAATCCAAATCAAAGGATATGTGCCAGGTGGTTGACTTTCTCTTAGAGAACAGAGCCTGCCCCTCCTCTGTACGACAGCCTTTCAAGTCTTTGAAATGTGCTGTCATATCAACCCTCAGTCTTCTTTTCTCAAGGCGAAACATGCCCAATTCTTTCAGTCTTTCCTCATCCTCATAGTGTTTGGTTGCCAGCCCCCTGATCTTCCTTGTTGCCCTCCTCTGAACTGGTTCCAGTTTGTCAGCATCCTTCTTGAAATGTGGTGTCCAGAACTGGACACAGTACAGTGGTGCCTTGCTAGACGATGATAATCCGTTCCACTGAAATTGCTGTTTAGTGAAATCATTGTCTAGCGAAAAGCATTTCCCCATTGGAATGCATTGAAACCTGTTTAATGTGTTCCAATGGGGAAGAATCATAGTTGTCTAGCGAAGATCAGCCATAGGAAAGCCACTTTGCAAACCGCCAATCAGCTGTTTAAATTGCTGTCTTACGAAGCTTAGGTACCAAAAACACCTGTTTTGTGAGCGCGGAGGGAGCTGACAAAATCGTTGTCTAGCGAAAATCGGTTTGCGAAGCAGGGACCAAACATTGTCCAGTGAAATTCCCCCATAGGAATTACTGTTTTGCGAATCGCTATAGCGATTGCAAAAAGTCAATGTCCAGCAAAAAAACTGTCATGCGGGGGAACTGTCTAGCGAGGCACCACTGTACTCAAGGTGAGGCCTAACCACCGCAAAATCATCATCACCACCACCACCGAATTGCAGAGCTGGCTTTTCCTGCCTCCCTGAAACAGTATGGTTTGGGGCGAGCCCATTCACATATTCAGCTGCTGTGTGTGAAGCATGGATGAACCACATTGCAAGCATGTCAACTGTGACAAAGACCCTGAACCGTAGAATAACCAGTTGGCTTAGGCTCAGCTGCCACATTGATTCCCTGGATTCCATTCTCCACCCCAAACTGATTTAATGTCATGGAAACAGCTTGCTGGCTGTCTCAAGGGTCGGCCAACTGCCAAAAGACACCACAAGTAACTTCCTGGCCAGTGACTTCTGGGTAGATATCACCTCGGGCGAGGGAGAAAAAGTTTAAAGAGCAGTGGGGAATGGCTCGTTGAATGCAAATAGCTGACGACATTCCCCAACAGTGACATGCTTTGTTGAACTTTGTTGGTTTGAGAAGCCACAGATGGCAGGCTGACAAACGTCAGGTTAGAAACTGTGCAGATGATGATCATAAGCCTGGCTAACAATAACTGCGTGTCCGGGTTCAAAAGCTAGACTCTTCAACAATGTGCGGTGTTTCTTGGACAGAAACAGAAAGAAAGAAAGAAAGAAAGAAAGAAAGAAAGAAAGAAAGAAAGAAAGAAAG